GATTCTGTCTTTCATTCGCAGAAAGCTCCATGTGGATGTCCGGCATGAGATGTGTGATGGACTGTCAGGGCCTTCACACACAGGGGAATGCTTCGCGCGTTTCGGCTGTGTGCTGTAGCCACGGGCATCAGACTCGTCAGTTGAGCTAGAGAGCAGGTGCTTCATTGCCAGTGCTGAGCTTGTGACTCATCAAGCTTATGGCGCTGCCATGTTGCTTCTAGCAACACGCACCTCCCATCGGCGAGACTGATCTTCAAGCAGGTCGTGGGCTAATCTTTTCCCGTTTCCCACCCAGGAGTGCAGTGCCCTCTTCTCAAAGTCAGATCCAACAGAAAAGCACATGTTCGTGAAACAGGTCGACTATGCTGAAGTTGTGTTTAACCGGAACGGCTTGCTAACAGACTGGGACCTGCGGTCTGAAACAAGTTTGTAGGCTATCTTCTCAGCGGTGATGTGCCAAACTGCTACATCACAGGCTTCACTCTGTGACCCTTGTCTGAGCGTTTGACAGCCCTCATGCGCCGGTGACATGATAATTTCTGTCCAGAAGCCCATTGTAGATGGCCACACTGCTCCTGGAGTAGGCCGGCACCAAGCAGAATTTCGACCACCTTCTTCATAGGCACAGCCAGACCAGCCTGGGCTGCACAAATATGCGACAAATTCAATCTTGCTCAGTGTCTGCCCAGAAGCCGTTTGACCAATCAGGAGTATCCCGACACGTGGTAGCAGCCGCTGGTGCTCCGGACGCAGGCACCTCCTGCTGGCACTGGGCCACTAGACCAATAGCAAATCAGGCCCCAGGCCCAACGGATGAAAGCGATGATAATAGTTGTGCAACAAAGAATGATGAACATCACACTTGTGCCGAAACATGAAAACACTTTTCGCAACATGTTGGTTGCGAGAAGCCGGGCCACTCTGACGCCTCCTGCTGCAATGATGCTTTGATATGAGTTTGTTCCAGAATTCAACGATTTTGTTGGTGCTAGCTGGCCATTTGGAGCCGGATCTCTTTAGCGTGGGCTGTTGCTGCATCTCTTCTTCTGCATTAAAGCTTGGGCGGATGCAGCTCTAGATCACCATGGCGAATCCAGTGTTTGCTATCAATCATCTGTGGTCAATGGCATTAAACTCAGTGTTGACAGGCTCACAGGTAGCAATCCAAATCTTCCTTCCAAAGTGTATATAAGCTTCTGGTGTAGATGTCGACACCACCCGCCCTTATCATGAAGCAGAGAACGTGAAGTGAGTATCGCACCCCATTACCGGTCCAGTTTTCCGATGTTTTTCGCCCACGGAGCTTGCTGCACGTCAAGTCATCAAGAACCTGGCAAGCTCATGACCTTAACTCAGGCCCGTACCTTTCCTCGTCGTCATCCAACAATCAAATCAAACCTACAATCTCGCCGCATGTTGTTTTGTCTTTGCCAACGATGACGGAACTACCACCTGAATTTCGAAGTCACCAAGGCTGGTATTCAGGATGATGGATACCTCACCACGAGCCTCACCCAACTTACGAAAGAAGGATGCCACCCTCACTGGGCAACTACTGTCATTGTAACGCAAACCCAGGCAAACATGGATATGGAGGTGTCGACACGGGCGTCCAGCTCATGTCGTGTACGCCAACTTTTTGTTGGTTGGATCAACCTCTAGGCTTGTGCGTTTTGTGGATTCGGAGGTTTCGCGGGCTATCCTGATTTTCGCCCTCTCCTTCCTACCAACCCCTAACTTGCCTTTTCCCTAGTCCACTCCCCCCCTTTGTTTGTCACCTAGCCTCCCTTCAAACCTTCCCCGCTCCCCACCTCCTTTTCCTTACCAGCAGGCCCTTTCAAGCTGTGATCTTGAATTCAAATTCTTGACTTCAAACTACTGCAGACCTTTGGCTCTCCACCTTCCTATCCTCTATACCTCTTACAGCTGCAGCCCGCCCGGCCGTGAGAATTGCCTGCAAGCTTACAAATACATTATCAAGTTGAAAGCAAGACGCTTGAAGAAAGGCTCCGTGCGATCACTGCCAAAGCAGTACCTTCTTAATGTTGATTCGATATCATCTCCCGCAAAGAGAACGCTTCCAAACAACACTGCTCATGCCACAGTGCAGATTTTCATGTTCTATTTGAGCTATTGCCGCCTAGCTTGCCACCAAGACCTAAAGCCCGTCCTGAGTCATGGGGACTTGCAGCGAGCAAATACCATCGGTCGAAGCGCAGTGGCCAGGTAAGCAAATGCAGGTGGAAAGGTTGTGACCTTCATAGAGAGGCCATCAACTGAAAGTCGGATGGAAAATCAATAAGCACGAATCTGAGCTTCATGTGCCGAGATGCAGTAAGCGGGCCCTCGAGATGCACCGCAAAACCCAAACTCCAGCGCGCAACTCTTTCCCGTTTGCCGATTGCATGTGGTGTCGTCCTGCGAGGCTCAAGTTTGTGGGGAGGCATCATCTTGCTTCCCAGGTTCTGGTCTCAGTTGTGGTTTCCCCCTATCTGCAGCCTGGGACTCGCAGCCGCAGCAATTCTTCTCAGGCCAGTTGTGCAGTCGACCCCTGCGCTCAAGCTGCTTTCACATTTGACTCATTATTTCTTCTTTGGGTTAAGTACCAGCCTCGCAGACTGCCGGATTGCCTTCACAGCTCCGTTGAGCTGTCCACACAAGCCCTGTTGCCGGTAGTACTCGCACGTCCAGCCTCAAGGGGCATGAAGGGACATCATCTCCAACTGCCAGCTAGCTGCGGCTAGCAAGATCGCTCACCAAGCTTTCAGCCTGCAGTCGATGGCCAGCTGGCATTCGTAGTAGGCCTGCAAAGCGCGGGGTCCTGGAAATCAAAAGGACTCACAAGGCTTAATCATGGTGCATGTCTCCGTCCTTACCACCGGGGAGCCATGCACAGCCTGACCAACCGTTTGACCAGCCAGGGGTGTCTTGACCTGTGCGCGCTCAGATGCATGCCGACTCCTAGAGGCCCGTTGAAGCGTTCAACAGAGCCAAGTAAGCACCTTTGATCACTGGGTTGGCAAGCTTTCTCGCGGCTTCCTGTGTCTGAGGACCGCGCACATGCGCACGCCATCTTCCCTGCAAGTGAGTCAGGAGTGCAAGGCACACACAGGCCTTTCAACCTAGTGCCCTCCAAGATGCGATGCTGGTCCATGGCTCAAGGCAGGTGTCCAGCTCAAGCCCTAGGATTGGCAAGCTGCTAACGCTGAGCTCAGGAAACGTCTGGATCGTTGACCGCCGGCAAACAGACACTGAAGCTAAGTGATCCTTGCGGCTGTGGAGCGAACCACAAATGGAAACCAAACCTGGCAAAGACGTCTGGATATCATCAAAGCTGCATGGTCAATTTTCAGCAAGTTGTGGACGCCTGAAGCACAAAAGCTGCCGTAAGCCCATGCCAGCTTCCATGACAACAGCATCAAGCACAAACACCAGTAAGAAAACATAACAGCTAGCTGTATTTGGTCGTGGCCTGTCACAGTACGTGCATGATGCGATCCCCTGTTTGGAAGTTGCTGCCATGCTTTGCAACTGTCAACTGAAATCCCTACACTCAAGTTGTGTTTGGCGCGGCTGCAGCAAAAACAGCCTTCGCAAAGCGCAACAAGGGGAAGCGCAAACCACGATGGAGTGCATAAAACGCATCTGTGCATTCTGAGCCTCAACATATTGATTTCTTCAGTCATTTCAGCTCTGCCACGGCCCAACACTGTCACATACTAAACACCACGTGCACCCGAACTTCCTGCACACTTGCTCAAGGAGCAGGATGAACAGCAAAACTCAAGGCACTGAAGCAAGCGTCATCAGGCCCATCGTGGCTTGAGGAGCATCAGATGTGATCATCCCATCCAGCTTCCTCCTTCCTCATCTTCTCTTCCACCTGACATTCAGCTCGCAGTATGTATGAGAACAAAAAAATCTCGCAGCAAGACATCCCAATTTAATGGCATAGTTCTCTTGCACAGGCAGCATGAGACACTGTTTACCAAAACCATGCACCCAAGAAATGTCCTATACCCTATCTTCTTGATATCTCAAGATGCTTTTTTGAGTCTGCTGAGCCAGGCTGTAGCAGGAGTCTGGGTTTTTTGAGGACTCCTACACGTGACCAGACAGGCTTGCGCTGAGGCAAGAGGAGCGAGCAAGCAATGCCCGAGAGGTTTGCTGCAGCAGCAGGGTCGCTCGGACAAGTGACATCCAACTATGAGCCCGTGAACGGCAGGTGCCGCTCAAAGAGCTTTCCAAGGTGTCGACCGCTTCCTGCAGCTTACCAGTGTCAACCAATTGCGCTGCCAGAGCCAACGTTCGTAAGTTGTGCTTCTGGCTGTCCCGATGCGACCCGGTATGCTCTTGCTCGGGCCCTGGGATCCACTGGCCCAATGTGGACTCGATCGCTGCATGAAGTGATGCTTCCTGCTGCTCACCTTTCAATATGTACATTTTGCCGAAAATTCGTCCGATAAGGCTACTTGCCAGCCCAGCCTGGGGTTCAAAAACGGCCGCCACAAGCTCTGGCAATTGCGAATGGAAATTCCGCTGGAGCTCTTGTCTTGTGAGGATGTGACTGCTGTCCTGCCCAAGCCTTTTCAGCTCAGTTGCCAAACCAGCGAGCATCTTGTTTGCAAAGTTATCTTTGCCATCCGCCACAAACCGCTTTGTGTTTGGGTGGCCTTCGTATCCTTCGTCTTCCCGAAGGGCGAGGAGTGTCAAGGCCGAGCGGCTCACCGACATGGCCTGGGTGTCTGGACAACTTTGAGAACTCCACAACTCTTGCAATTGAGCAGGGGCCTGCTCTAAGCGATGCAACTGATTGCTGAGACCTTCTCGCACCTGTGATAGCTCTGCCCACAAGCTTTGCATCTGCGCGGACTGTAAGTTGTAGATGTCCTTGTCGGCCATCTCCTGCATCTCAGCCGCGGCTTCTGTAACAGCTTCCTCGCATCGTTCTGCCGCTGATTGCTGATGGCCTTCAATGACTTTCATCTTTTCGGTTCTCATGCGGTCCTCAAACTCAGTCACGACCCTAGAAATGTCTTGACCGTTTTGACGCTTCCATTCTTGCAATAAGAGCTGCCAGGAATGCGCCAACTCTTGCTTTTCTAGCGCGTACTGCGCAGCGAGGGCCTCAGCCAAGGAGGACGCCTGGTCCAGCAACTCAGGGCTGGTCAGGAAATGATTTGCGGCAGTCGCAGCTGCTGTGTACTCATCAACTTGGACTTGGTCTGGAAGCAAAGGCATCAGCTGCTGTGTTGCACTTGCGATCTGATCGTTGTACCCCCTTTTTGGGAGATTCTGTATTTCCTCTGCGATCGCCCTGGCGGCTGACAGAGGAGAGTCAACATCGCTCTTCAAGGCCTCTTCACAAGCGGGGGCGTCTTGAGTCAAAACTGCTTGATGCAGTGCTTGCCGCTGCTGCTCCCAGCTTTGCTGCTTCTGCTCTGATTCCTCGATGTTTGCAATGATTTGTCTAGCAGCTGCAGTCTGGCTTTCATCGAGGTGGGTCCACAGATCAAGGCCACACGTTTTCAATTCAGAGATTGCTGCTTCTGCTTTTGAGAGAGCAGAAGTCAGAGCTGGCATGTCGACACCTTCACCCAGAAGCCACTTTCTCCTTTCTGCGCGAATTTGTGCAGCAGCAGCTTCGAACTGTTTCTCTACCGCCTCTGTTCTGGACATCTTTGCCAAGTGATCTTTGGCAACCTGCAATGCATAAGCACATTGTCCAGTCAATTCAGCTGCCCCATCCAGTGACGACTCCTGCAAGGACTTGAACGCGTCCCCGTCAAGAAAGACTTGCGCGCGCCGCAAGAATTCTGAAAGTTCCTCAACTTCGGCAAAGTCAGCTGCCTCTGCCACTAGCTTCAGATCGGCAAGCAGTTGGGAGCACTGGCCAGCCAAAGCTGCAAATTCCGTTTGTTTCTTACGCGAAGCTTCTTGCAACTTTAACTCCGCTTCATGTGCGCGTTTGGCAGCTTCCTGGGCCCTTGCTGCTTCCTCTGCCTCTGCTTCCTGCTTCGCAGCCTTTTCTGCTGCAGCAGCTTTGGCCTTCGCAGCTTCGGCTAATGCAAGTGCAGCTTCGGATTCCAGCTTCGCCTTTTGCAAGGCATCTGCCTCACGTTGCCTTTCTGCCTCCTGCTCCCATCTCTGCTTCTGCACTACAAGGACCCCCACGCCAACACATGATGCTGCTAAGGCTGCTGACACCAGGGGCACTCTCGAAGCCGACGGTCGTATGACATTCACATCGATGCCTTTCAGCTTGCGCCCCCCCTCGCTGAAAGAACGTTGCTGCGAAAGCTTCACAATCCGCGCAATCCGCACATTCAAAGGGCGCACATGGCCTGAGCAGGGGCAAGCGAAGCCACAGTGGAAACACATGCAGCTGTAAGCATAGGTCTATGGGACAGGCTTCAGGAAGTAGACCAACACAAAAGTAGCACACGCGCATGCCTGGCTTCACCAGACGCGTGTCCACCGCAAGTCATGCTAGCGCTTCAGAATTTCAAATCAGTCTCTTTCCCGTTTGCTTTAAATGCTAATATCAGCCTTCTCCCCAATTAGTGAGACTTAGCGAATAGTGGTGCCTCTGCCATTCTAAAGACTTTCTGTTAGTGACGGGCTTGAGCATAATATCAACTGGACTAGCTAGCACTTCTTCAAGCCAAGTGACTGGACGCCATCTTCTCCAGTGTGCGCAACAGCTAGCTCTGAGAAGAAACTGCGGTGCCCATGCTACGCCAAGTACAGCCGTCGAGAATCAGGGGCACTCGCCTGTTCACGTTTGGAAGGATTGTGCAGCAAAGGCACCATGCGGGTGTAGGCACTCTTCTCGCCGTCTTTGCGATTGAAATCCTGTTGAGGCAGGCTATTTTTAAAAGAGCGTTCCTCACAAGCCCCAAGAACAGTCACTCGAGTCAGTTGTTCTACCTCCAGCTGTGCAAAGTTCTTTCGCTTGGAGATTAGCTTGTGCAACGCAGGAGGGTATTGACCTTGCAGGGCAGATTGCAAAGCTCGAAATCTGTTGCGAATAAATTGTACCGAGACACTGCGAAAAAAATCTAACAGTCCACAGAAACCTGTAGAAGCACCAGCCATTTAAGCAGCACGCCTACACAGTACCAGCTTCCTTCTGCGTCGCACTTGCGGTTCTCGGGGTTCGCCACCCACTTCTGCAGCACGGATTTGTCGAACCATGGTTGTGACAATTCTGCCCCCCCCCCCCCTTGTGACAAATGCCACCTTGGAATCTTCTGATACGCCAAGAACCTTATGAAACGCAGCGCGACTGTGCTTGTCGAACTCAATCAGACCTCAGAAATGAACATGAGACTGGGCCGCGGTCTTTGAAGATACGCATGAGCCCGTGCTTGGTGGTGTGCACCTACGTCGGATAATTCGTCGTGTACACACATCAGATTCATTTAGCTCCGAAGAGCACAAAATCTTGCGCTGCCAGGTCAGCTGCCCCTTAGTGAGAGGTTGCTTGTGTTTCATCTGGGTCACCATGCCCCCAGCGATTCACATCCGTTGGCAGCAGCCGTCTCGTACCAGAATGCAACCACTAGAATTAATTGAGGGAAGTCTAGGTTCGGGCATTTCCTTATATTTACTGGCGGGGTAACCCTGCAGTGCCAGACTGTCCGCACATTGCTTGCTGTGCTGTCGCGGTGTTTTTTATTGTCTGATGAGATCCTGCACTGGGCAGTGCTCCTCTTCCTCATGGTACAGTACTCATACAAGAAAATGGCAAAAAGGACAACAGGAATAGGATCAGAAATGTCGCGGCGGCAAGGTCACACAGATCATGTTTGGCCACAGAAAAAACAAACAAGAAACAAGAGCAGTGGTTGTAAAGCATTCGCGTCACGAACTGATTTGAACGAGATTCATGGCAACTATAAAATGACAACACGCGACAGTCTGTAAAAAAAGTCAGGATTAATCAGCATGAATTAGGCTAAGAAGAGCCAGAACATTCAAGAACATGCAGTGCTTTGAATGTGGTGCTGACATGTTTACTGCCTTACGAGTACGTTGCAACCCCCCTTCCCAATGTGCTGCCTGCCCCGGCTCTCTTTCCCCTTCCCGCGCAATGTTTGAGAAGGTGATCGATGCCAGGATGCTGGCTCGTAGAATGAAAACAATCGAATAGTGGAAAAAGCATTGTAAACAGTTGCATTTTGACAAGCAATGAGTTAAGGAGACCATCAACACCTATCAAAGCGATAGGGTCCAAAGAGACCACCGGACCTGAAGAAAAGTGATTACAGAAGAGCAATAACCATGGTACAATTCATCTATGGACAGTGTCACTCTAACGATTTAGCGATTTGGCGGCTTGGTTTAGCCGAGGGGTTGCGGGAAGGGAACGGCCAGCCGCCCCCTTCTCGGGTGCAACGCGCGCTTCACGAAGAAACACATCTTCGTTGGGGTAATTCGGATGATGATCTAAACATAGCACATGGCTGTCGACACCGCAGGTCTGGGACCGGAGCACTTCAGGACCACACAAGACATGCGAAGCCCGTAGGACATTTGCCAGACCTGTACAAGTACAAACTGCCAAAGAAACATCAATGATTTTTATGATTACTAATACGTGGTGTGAGATGCAAGTTTTATTCCCGATTGGACGAGACATGACGGTATGCGTGGCATCCATACTGCTGCATAAAACTGAGAACAGACGGAAAATCTAAAGGCTACGAGGAAACAGAAAATTGGCAGAAAAAAGATCAAAGAACGTGTGTAACCATGACGGTGATGCTACGAGTTGTAATTACACGAGCACAGCTTCAATAGCGTCAATACTCGTAGGACAGCAATGCTCAGAATCATACCATACGAGTAGCGAAAACAGCATTAATGTTGGACCCTTTTTAGTAAGTAGAGCCCCCCCCCCTCCTAACATTAGGGCCCTCCGAAAAATAGAAATTAGGGATCCTCAATACGACCCCCTGAGCTCACACGGTTCTGAGGTCCCTGTGGATTGATTTAAAAGGGATCGTTGAGAATCCTTCCTATATTTTT